AGTTTCTCAATGCACAGCCCTAGAGAAGACTGGGGGACTGTGATTTGTTTGGGAACAGTCTGGTAGTTTCTCTACTAAAAACTACTTAGAGGGCCAGAAACCTACCAGGTAACTTTGTAAAAATATGCTGACTGTATAGATAAATAGATTTAATAATAAGGAATCTACAAATCAGAGACCGGGACTATTATAACTCTTTTCCAAAGTTTTGGATACACATATAGACTAATCTAAAGTCCTCACCCACAAACTGTCTCCTTCCCCTTCATCTCCTCAATTCTCTGATGTCCTATATCCAACTCATAAACAAATCTTAATGGTTATAACTTCAAAATATATCCACAATCTGACCAATTCACACCTCTCCACCACCACAACCATGGTCTAGCCACCATCACCTTTCACCTGTGTTACTGTACTGGCCTCCTAAATAGCCTCCCTGTTTTGAATTTTGCCCCTTATAATCTGTTTTTCACATGGCAGAGTATTCCTGTAAAATGAAAAACTAGTCATATCACAACACTTCTCTACTAAAAACCTTCCAAAAGCTTTCTATCTCTCTTAGAGTAACAGCCAAAGGCTTTATTTATGGTGGCTTATGAGGAAGCTCTGGTGGCATATTGCCTATGGCATTTGACTGCTAACCAGAAGGCTGGTGGTTCAAACCCACCAGCCGCTCCCCGGAAGGAAGGCTGGGCAATCTTCCGTAGTGAAACAGAATCGGAAACCCAAGGAGGGGTTGCTATGAGTCAGATCCGACTCCACAGCAGTGGTTGCATTGTATTACGAGGCCCTACACAAAGTGTCTGTCCTGCTCTCTAACCCTTTCTAGTGTCTAGAACAGAGCCTGGCAAGGAACAGGCACTCAAAACATAGCTGTTGAAGGAATTAAATGCACCGAAGTGTGCCATGACTGAGAAGTATGATTTATTCAACTTCTTGACCCTGAGGTCTGAAACCACGCAATGAACCCAACTCAACCCAACCAAAAATACAGAACCAACAAAATTTTTTAAAAAGTTAAAAGAAAACTTTTTTAAAAGATAGAACTTCTCTGGTTTTACTTTGAAATAAAGTTGTCACCTGGATTCAATGTCAGACAAAGAGATGTCACTCCAACCTCCTTCTAAATCCGTGTCTTGCCCAAGTTCATTGAATTTCTTATTAATTTCTTGTTGTAAAAGTTCTTTAAGCTCTGCCAGACACTGTGTGAACTGTGGAGGTGAAATAAAGAACTGTTTCTGATCATTTATTTATTTAGCTGTCAAATATTACCTCTGAACCTCTGATGGTGCAGTGATTAAAGCATTCAGCTGCTGAAAGTGGTTTGAACCCACCCGCCATTCTACAGGAGAAAGATGAGGCAGTCTGCTTCTGTAAAGATCTGTAGCCTTGGAAACTCTATGGGGAAGTTTTACTCAGCTCTACAGGGTCGCTATTAGTCATAACAGATTTGATAGCAGTGGGCTTTCTTCAATCAAAGATTTACTAACTATACTCTGAAAGACAGATGCTTTACTTATTGCTGGGGGCACAAAGATGAATAAGCCTCAACCTCGGCTACTAAGGGTATCTTAACAGCCAAATTCCATGAGCTGTAGGAACGTGCAGATTTTTTTTTCAGGGCAGGACAACAATAAGCATTGCTTTAGGCACTTTTCTCTGGCCTAGAATAAACTTCTTAATCAATGTGATGGCCTGCTTTACGTGAGGACTTTGAGGAACAAGGAAGGAAATGTCAGAATGGGATTGTTCAGATGTTTGCTATGGCAAGGAAGATTTAACAGGCCACAGTGCGGTCAGATTCTCCTTTAAACATTTTTTTATTAAACAATTGTATCCAGGGTGGTGCATATCAATAACACTCCCAGGGCCAACATTTCTGGAAGCATATGAGAGGTAAGTTAGAGACCACGAGTACAGATTCCCTTTTAAGAAGCTGAGTGATGAAGGGAAATAGAGAAAAAGGCCAAAGGAAACCTGTATTTGTGTTTTAGGACATGGGCAGCTTGGGAACATTTGCAGTTGAGGAGAAGAAGAGGAAAAAACTGCAGACACAGAAAAGAGAAGAGGTAATTAATACATAAGGAGTATGTACTCCTTAGGACAAACAAACATAAAGGATCAAAAAGGCAGCATTTGCCCAGGGGTAAAGCTCAGAAGACAGGAACAGACAGGAGAGAAGGACAAGGGGAATGGTAACCACAGGAAGGAAGTGGGAAGGGTGCTATTACATTGTGGGGATTGTAATCAGTGTCATGAAATAAAATGTGTATGAATTGTTGAATGGAAAATCAGTTTACTCTCTAAACTTTCACCCAAAAAAGTTAATAATAATATTAAATAGTTAATAACAATATTAACTATTTAATAACTATGAACTATTTAATAAAAGTTAATAATAATATTAACTTTATTATCATAAAGTTGTAATTAACGAGGGAAGACCTAGGGAAGCTGTAGGGGAGGTCACCAAGTATACAAAGGGGCAGTGCTGGATTTGAAGAAGAGAAAGGGCACCTGCTTTTCTGAAATAAGAGAAAAGGAAGTAAGACTTGGTGCTGCCATGGGTAAGGAGAGGTGTGCTGAGGGAAAGCGTGCCGGATGGTCTCTATCCTCTTGGTGAATTATGAGGGCTTATCATTTGCTGGGAGTGTATAGGCTTGGGCTTTACTATTTCTTTGATGATAAAAACATCAAAAAAATGTGAAGAAGAAAAGAAAGATCATCTGTAATCCCATGAACTGACTTTGGACCCAGCAGTAGCTGGTCAGGGGGCATTACTCCATTTCCCAAAGCCCCATTTTTACCTTGGTTTGGTCAGGGTCACAGAAATCCAGAAGGGTGTCACAGACATGATAGCCTAGGGACTTCAGATCATCGATAGTAAAGTGAGTGTCTCTTTTACTGCCTGGAAAAAAAACCCATAAACATTTTTATTAAATCTTAATGACTGAATGTAAATCCAATTTATGAATATCTCATTAAAAATATCTCTGTTTCTAAAATATTGTTTCTGGATAGCTTTCTTTCTATTTTCAGTTTAGTTCAGAAGCATCTTTGACAATAAAAAATGTTTGCAGTCATAATGGTTGTAATCCTGGAGTTCTTATTCTGTGGGATGCACTATGCCAAGTCTACTCTCACATTAAGCCAGACTCAGAAGAGGACATGAAATGAAGGGTATCACTGCTGATGTCAGATGGATATTAGCTGAAAGCAGAGAATATCAGGAAGATGTTTACCTGTGTTTTATTGACTATGCAAAGACATTGACTGTGTGGCTCACGGTGATGTCATATTATGGATAACATTGCAAAGAATGGGAATTCTAGAACACGTAATTATGTTCATGTGGAACCCGTACATAGACCAAGAGGCAGTGGTTCAAATAGAACAAAGGGATACTGCATGGTTTAAAATCAGAAAAGGTATGCATCACAGTTTTAACCTTTCACCATACTTTTTCAATCTGTATGTTAAGCAAATAATCTGAGAAGTTGGACTATATGAAGAAGTAGTGGCATCAGGACTGTAAGCCTCATTGACAACCTGAGATATGCAGATGACCCCCCTAGAGGTTGCTGAAAGTGAAGAGGACTTGAAGCACTTACTGATGAAGATCAAAGACTATGGTCTTCAGTATGGATTACACCTCAACATAAAACAAAAATCCTCAACATAAAACTGAACCAATAAGCAACATCACGATAAATGGAGAAAAGAATGAAGTTGTAAAGGATCCACAATCAACATCCAAGGAAACAGCAGTCAAGAAATCAGCTGACTCTTTAAGGATATGGAAAAACTAATCACCAACTTTATATGGAAAGGAAAGAGACCCTGGATAAGCAAAGCACTATTGAAGAAGAACAAAGGAGGAGGTCTCACGCTGCTGGATCTCAAAACCTACAATACAGCCATAGTAGTCGAAACTGCCTGGTTTTGGTATAATAACAGACACATAGACTAACGGAATAGAATTGAGAACCTAGAGATAGATTCCTCGACCTCTGGTCAGCTGATCTTTGAAAAAGGGCCAAAATCCATTATATGGGGAAGAGAAGGTTTGTTTAATAAATGGTGGTGGCAAAACTGGATATTTATTTGCAGAAAAATGAAACAAGATCTGTACCTAACATCTAATACACAAAAACTAACTCCAGATGGATCAAAGACTTAAATGTGAAACCTAAAACTATCAAGTTCCTCAAGGAAAAACTAGAGGCAAATTTAGGGGCCTTAATATATGGCATAAATAGACTATCAAGTATAATCCAAAAAGCACAAACAGCAGAAGAGAAACTAGATGAATGGGGCTTTCTAAAAATTAAGTTTTTGTGTGCTTCCAAAGACTTCTCCAAAAGAGTCAAAAGAGAACCTACATATTGGGAAAAAATATTTGGCAATGACATATCTGACAAGGGACTTATCTCTAGAATCTATAGACAACTCCACCACCTCAACAACAAAATGACAAATAATCCAATTTAAAAATGGGCAGAAGACATAAATAGACACTTCACCAAAGAGGATATTCAGGTGGCCAACAAACATATAAAGAAATGCTCACAATCATTAACCATTGTTGTTTGGTGGTATTGTTGTTATGTGCTGTTGAGTTGGAACTGACTCATAGTGACCCCTCCTTGGGTTTCCGAGGCAGTATCACTATGGAAGTAGATTGCCCAATCTTCCTTTCGAGGAGTGGCTAGTGGGTTTGAATCGCCAGCCTTCTGGTTAGCAATCAAGTGCCTTAGGCTCTATGCCACCAGAGCTTTTAGAGAGATGCAAATCAAAACAACAATGAGATACCATCTTGCCCTAGCACTAGCAGCAAAGTTCAACAAGACAGAAAATAACAAATGCTGGCAAGGATGCAGAGAGATTGGAGTCTCATACACTGCTGATGGGACTATAAAATGGTACAACCACTGTGGAAAGCAGTATTGTGATTCCTTAAAAAGTTGGAATTAGAAATACCATTTGACCCAGCCATTCCATTACTAGGTATATATCCTAAAGAAGTCAGAGCCAGGACAAGAACAGACATGTGCACACTCATGGTCATTGCAACACTATTTACAACAGCCAAAAGATGGAAACAACGTAGGTGTCCATCAACTGAAGAATGGGTAACCAAACTATGGTATATACACACAATGGAATACTATGCAACCCTAAAGAATAACCTAGAATCAGCAAAACACCGCATAATGTGGATGAACTTGGAGGACATTATGCTGAGTGAAATAAGTCAATCACAGAAGGGCAAACATTGTTTTAGTCCATTACTATAAAAAGTCAAGGAAAGGTTTATAAATGGAAGGAAATTTTCTTTGTTGGTCACCAGGGGTGGGAGGGGAGGGGAGGAAACACTCTTAGATAGGTTGTTGTTGTTGTTGTTATGTGCCGTCGAGTCAAACCTGACTCATAGCGACCCCTCCTTGGGTTTCTGAGGCAGTATCACTACGGAAGTAGGATTGCCCAACCTTCCTTCCGAGGAGTGGCTGGTGGGTTTGAACCACCAGCCGTTTGGTTAGCAGGCAAGTGTCTTAGCCACTATGCTACCAGAGCTCCCATTAGATAGGTAGAGACAAGTATTGATTTGGGTGAAGAGAAGGGCAATGTACCAAAGGTGAGTGATCAACATGGTGGCACTGAGGAAGAGGAAGACGTATAAAGGTACACGGGAGGTACAGACAACAAAGATGAACCCTTTTGCACTACAGTACTGTGTTGTCAGTGAAGGCAAACATGGCTATACGGATGGACAGATGGGTTAACAGACTGAACTATTAGGTATGTCTCTGCAGGGGGGAGTGTGCCCAAGGGGTTGGCAGACAATGTTTCTACAAGTGTATTGGTATGTTCTGTAAGAATTCCCAGGTATATAGCAGAGCTGACAAAGGTCAAGGCTGTAGTCACTTCTTGGTCACAGCCAGCTACCCCGAAGGACTGAGTAGTTGAACCTGTGGGCTCGGGACCATAGTTGCAGGGGACATTAAGCTCAACTGGCATAACAGACTACACAAAAAATTGTTCTACCTCCTACTTTGGTGAGTAGCGACTGGGATCTTAAACGCTTGCAAGCAGCCATCTAGATGCAATGATGGGTCTCTCCTCATTCAGAGCAAAGAAGAATGAAGAACACCAAAGATTCACGGAAACAATTAGTCCAAGCGACTGGTACATCATGCGATCCTCAGTCTATATGACTATGAGACCTAAAGAACTAGATGGTGCCCGGCTACCACTGTCAACCACTTGGAGGGGGATCTATGTAGTAGGAGATCCTGGATAGAGTGGGAGAATAATGTGGAACAAAACTCAAAATCATTTGGGAAAAAAAAAAGGGACCAGGTTTGCTGGTCTGATAGAGCCTAATGGAACCACTGAGATTATGGCCACTAGCTGCCCTTCAGGTCTGGAATTGAACCCACTCCTGTGGCTTACAGCCAAACAAAAGACAGGCATATGAGGTGAACATTTACACTAGGCAGATACACTCCTTGGAGAGAACAATCATGGGAGAATAGAAGGGCTGTGTATGCACAGGGATCATAGCTCAGGAGGGCTGGAGGGAAGGACACAGGGAAGAGGTAACTAACTATGGGGAGGAAGAGAAAGGGGAGCTGTTGCATTGGGGCAAATTATAGTCAATGTCATGAGAGAAAGTGTATGTGAACTGCTGTATGGAAAGTGAATTTGCTCTGTAAACTTTCAGTCAAATCACAATAAAAAAAAAATTAACTGATGTATTGCAATAGAAAGACCTGCTGCAAAAGACCTCTTTAAAGTGTTTAAAAGAAAAGATGTCACTTTGAAGACTAAGGTGCACCTGACCCAAGCCATGGTGTTTTCATCACTTCATATACATCCAAAAGCTGGACTATGAATATGGAAGACCGCAGAAGAATTGATGCCTTTGAATTATGGTGTTGGGAAAGAATACTAAATATACCATGGACTGCCAGAAGAATGAACAAATCTGTCTCCAAAGAAGTACAGCTGGAATGGTCCTTAGAGGAAAGGATGGCATGACTTCGTTTCACGTACTTTGGATAATACCAGGAAGAACCAGTCTTTCAAGAAGGACATCATACTTGGTAAAGTAGAGGGTCAGCGAAAAAGAGGAAGACCCTCAATGAAACAGACTGACACAGTGGATGCAACAATAGGTTCAAACACAGCAATGACTGAGGATGGTGCAAGACCAAGCAGTGTTTCATTCTGTTGTACGTAGGGTCACTACGAGTCAGAACTGACTTGAGGGCACCTAAAACAACATCCCATTACACAAGGAACCCTGGTGGCCCAATGGTTAAGCACTCAGCTGCTAACCAAAAAGGTCAGCAGTTGGAATCCACCCAGCGGCTCCATGGGAGAAAGACTTGGCGATCTGTTTCTTTAAAGATTACAGACTAGTAATCTCTATGAGGTAGTTCTAATCTGTCATAGGGGGTTGCTGTGAGTTGAAATGGAATTGACAGCACCTAACAGCAGCAATAATGCCATTACATTATACAGTCGTCCCTCTTCGCCTGCACAGGATATGCTCTAAGTCCCCCCCAGCAGACGTCTGGAACTGCCTGAAACTGAGTTACTGCTTTTCCTACATATGACAGATATTCAGGGTGTCCTGGGTGCAGCACAGCTGTTCACCCAACAGTGTTTTCCAGGCTTGCACCCAGCGAAGAAGGAGGAGGCTGGATCCTGGACAGAGTGAGATGGTGTGGAGATTTCATCACACTGTTCAGAATGGTGCATAATTTAAATGTTTTTTTGGATTATGGTTACCTGTGCGTGACTGACACCACAGAAAGCAAAACCTTGGATAAGGGGCACTCCAAAACCAAACCCAACCCACTGTCATTGAGTAGATTTCAACTCATAGTGACCCCACTGGGTTTCTAAGCCTGTAAATCTTTATGGAAGCATACTGCCCCATCTTTCTTCTGCAGAGTAGGTGCTGACCTTTTGGTTAGCAGCCAAATACCTTAAGTACTATACCACTAGAGCTCCTTAAGGGGGGACAATTTTACCTGTAATGCAGGTACTATTATTATTGTCAGTTAAAGGAAAACAAGGTTGAAAGGGGTTAAGTAACTAACCTAGGATCACACAACTTGTAAATAGAGCTGAAATTCAAACTCAGATCTCTCTGATTCCAGAGCCTTATCAACCACCGTATTATATAGCGCCCCTCAAGTATTAGACTTCACATTCATATTTTGGGTACTCACGTTTAGCATAAGTCACATAAGAACTTCTCAATGTCAGTTATTTCTGCAACAGTCAAAAGGATTTTGTCTCCTCAGGGGCTCTGCTTGGCTTTCCCTTGCCATCCTGGCCTATGACATCCAAAGAGCTTACCTAGGGTGGACCCGCCAAAGGTAGACTCCATGGTGTAGCTGTTTAAGATTCCCATCCGCCACATCACAACCCGTCCTGTTCCTTCCTTGCACTTTTGGACCTTAAAATTACAACTATGAAAAGAGAACTGGAGAGAAATCCAAATCCTCTGTTAATTATAAAGGGGCAAACGTAAGAATGTCTAAGATTCATTAATATGATACAAGGATGGTTCCCCTGGTGTATATATATTATTTCCTAAAGTATGTTCCATGAAATACTAAGGAATACAGGCGTGAAAGAAAAGAGGAAGGAAGGAAGGTTGAAGAGTCTACCTAATGCCTTCTTTTTATCAACGAGGGTAGTGGTTTCTCACTAAACATGTGTCTCATATACCTTTACATGAGAAAATTTGCACTATCATTTAAACATTTTTCTAATCCCAACCTAGTTTCTTCTCTCTAATGACAGTTATGTTAGATAAATCTATTCAAGATGCTAAAAACCAATTTCTAAGTCAATGAAGATATTCTGTATACGCCCAACTGTCACAGAGCTCTGCCAATTATTAAAAATTTTAAGTTGTTCTCATTAGCCTTTTAATGTCGGACAGTTATTTGTTATCTTGTATTATGTAAACTTTTCTATGAGGGCTCATGTAATGTTAGCATACTGTTTGCCCTTCAATCCCTTCTTGCACTGCTGTCATAAGATTAAAGACTACAGACAACTCTACGTACCAAGAGAAGTCACCAGACAATTTTTTTTTAAACCCTCTTTACTGAGATATAATTCACAGACCTTAAAATCCACCCATTTTAAATAGACAAGTCAATGGTTTAAGTATAGTCACAGAGTTGTGCAACCATCTAAGTTCAGAATATTTTCATTGCCCAAAAAAGAAACTTGTACCCATCAGTAGCCACCTCCCAATCCACAGTCCTCCCACCAGCCCTAGGCAATCACTCATTGCCTTCCAAAAATGCTCTATGGATTTGCCTCTTCTGGGTATTTCATACACATGGAACCATACAATATGTGGTCATTTGTGGCTGCTTCCTTTCACTCAGCATGTTTTCAAGGAAGGTTCATCTGTGCTGGAACATGTATCAGTATTTGATTTTTTTTTTTATTATTGCTGAATAATATGCTGGTGTGGGGATATACTCCATTACCCCATTTTGTTTATCCATTCATCAGTTGATGGACACAGAGCAATTTTTAAAGCCACACCTTCCTAAATTCCTGAAGTCCAGGTTGCTGGTACAGGAAAACCTATGAAAACCAGAGCCTATGTAAAGCAGAAACCTGTCTTGTTTCAAAGGAAAACTCAAGTACTTTCTAGTGAAACAAATGATAAGAAAGTGGTAAGACTGCACCCTGCCAAAGGTAGAAAACTTGTAAGACCTAGAAAAACAAGGGCGTCCCTGTGAATTCCGGCTCTCACAGGTCTCACTGTATAATAAAATGAGACACAAAATGGCGTATCAAACATCACATATAGAAGCACTGAGTTTCCTTCTCCCTTAGTCAATGGACAGAAAACATGCTTACCTGGTCTGGTGCATTTTTGCTTAACATTAAAGGAAAGACTCGTTCATGAAGCCAGTACTTGTGATCGTTGTTGTTACAGCCATACAAGAAGATATTATTCTTGCGGCTGTGCCCATGGAAATCACAGTATAAGAGAACCTCCCTTTCTTCAAGAAGTCTATGGGGCAGGGGAGGAGCAAACAAAGGACTCAGTGCACATCAAATGCACGTGAATAATCAAGAATACTCTAAGGATCTTTTGGAATCCCTTCCTTCAGTATGGCTGTTGCTATCTCTCCCTCCTAAGAACATTTCAACTCCCAACGGCCTTAGTATTTTTTGCATTAGACTAAACACCATTTCTAGACAATATTATATCTTCCTACCCTCTAGCTTCAAATGTCTATGCAAAGTGGTATGCCACAGGGAAGCACCTCCCACCTCTGAGGCCTTGGTCATATCCCTTTCCCTGTTGAAGTGCCTTCTTATCTGGGGTCTCTGGCTTGTCCAAGCCCTCTCCATAGCAGTCCTACCCCAACCTCAGCCACTACTGTAAACATGTCACCAGCACTGTCACCCCCACCAGTTAGAGGGACTTGACATGGAAAAGTCCTGATGTAGAAAGGGGCACAGGGTAGGCCATATGAGTTGGTAAGGAGGTGGAAGAGAAAGCTCATGCTGGCACAGACGTGGGGAGAAGCAGAGAGGCTGTACTTGTAGGGATGAAAAAGGCAGAGCCTTAGTTCCTGACTTTCCAGGGCCAATTCCTATGAGGCCCAGTCTTCTTTGCCTCTTGACCATCTGCTGTAGTCTTAAATTAAACCTGCTCAACTACAGTTAGCCTAAGGGACTTCTATTTCTTGAAATCTGTAAAATGGCTGGCCCAGGACACTTATTCCAACCTACCCAGAATGTTCACTTTCTCCATGATGATGACTGAAAGGATGAAGAGAATGATAACAATAATGGCCACTAGTGACACACATTTACAATGTGCTAGGTGTTATGCTGGGAGCTCTGGTGGCATAGTGGCTAAGACACTTGCCTGCTAACCAGACGGCTGGTGGTTCAAACCCACCAGCCACTCCTCGGAAGGAAGGTTGGGCAATCCTACTTCCGTAGTGATACTGCCTCGGAAACCCAAGGAGGGGTCGCTATGAGTCAGGGCCGACTCGACGGCACATAACAACAACAACAACAACAGGTGTTATGCTAAGTAGGTTACATGGATTCTCTCATTTCATCCTCACAGTAACCACACAGGCACATATTAATACAGCCATTCCTCATAGGAGGAAGATGAAGCTCAGAGAGGTTAAATCACTTGGCCAAGGTCACAGAGCCATCCAGTAGTAAAAGCAGGTCTCAAACCCAGGCCTGTGGCCACTCCCAAACACATGCTCATACACATGCTCTTGGTCACTCTGCTTTCAGACCCACACTGCTCCCACCCTTTCCCATAGACATAATTCCTACTAGGCTCAGGCTTCTTTACCTCTTAACTGTCTGCTATTGCCTCAAATTAAACCTGCTCAACTAAAGCTAACCTAAAGGGCCTTCTATTTCTTAAAGGTTAGAAGGCATGCATTCACACATTCCTGTATTCTGTATTTTTGTTTCTAGTGAAATGGAAGTTCCTTTAAGGTGGGTGCTCAACTGCTTTCACACAGAGCTTGGAAATTTCTGACTGACTGATTCATTTTTCTTTCCTGATGAGAGACAATACAAAGTGGTGATAAGGAACCGGGACTCTGAAAACATAGCTTGTGTTCAAATATCTACTCTGTCACTACCTGTGTGGCCTTGGGCAAGTCACTTAACCTTTTTGTACCACCATTTCCTCATATAGCAAATGGGAATATTGCCTGTAGTCATCTCACAGAGTGAATGTGAAGATTAAATGAAGACCTATGAACTCCGCTGGCCGCTGAACTTTCCCACTTAATTAATTCACTTATCAGTGAAATGACTTTACTGGCTAAAAAGCTGTATGCCCAGCTTCAACCCAAAGATAAGCTTGGGGTTAGAAGTTTAAAAATTAATAAACCCATGTGACTGCAAGAGAAAGTAAAGACTACCTCTGAAGCCACTCTGTATTCCTACAGCATTGGAAGAAAGTTCATATGCATCAGATGGGGGCTACTGGTGCGAGCTCTCAGAGCATTCACACACAGATCAATGGATAAAGGCTCTCACCTCTTGACCATGTTCCTGGTATACCAGATGCAAGGGAAAGAGTCCTTCAAAATGGTCTTGTAATGCCTGTTCAAGTCCCTTCCAGCCAATGAACATCGATAATTCCCCACAATCACTCCATCTGGATTTAACATGGGTACCACCTTGAAGATAAAGATATCTCGGAGGAGGTGGGCATCTGGGGAGTTGCTAAGGATGAAGTCCAAAAAGCCTCTCATAATCCAGGAGCCATTACTTTCCCCAGGGTGGACCCTCGCAGTGAAGACCACGGCTTTCTTTGCAGCTGCCTCTTGAGGGCTTTGGGATGGGTTGGTGATGGTGAGCAGGTAGACGGTATTTCCTGCTAGGCTCTTGCATAAAGTACGGAGCTTGCAGAACTGGGATTGGACAGGGTTGTTTATCACTGACAGGAGAAAGCACTGCAAATCAGAATATGTGTATGGGTAGAAGTGTGCAAAGAAGCAAGTGTCCTGATCATGCGGAAACTGAATGGTCCATGTCAGACAGTAGAAGGGCTGCTGCCTGTCATCTGTGTTGTTCTTATAGTACTTGATTTCATTTCCCTCTCTCCTCCAGCCAATGTTGTGAGTTTTGGCATCCAATTGGGAGTACATGAGTGGCTTCATCCCTGTAGCGTAAAGACTCTTGGGCTTGAGCAAGTTGACGATGGTGAATCGATAGGTGACATCCTTTCTGGTATTTTGAACTCGAAAATAAAACCACTGAGTGTGTTTGTTTGTGTAGAGGTCAGTTTGCAAGGTAAGTTCATACTCATAGGTGGCTCTGTAATGGAGAAAATTGAAGAATATTTCTGTAACCTGACAACCCCCCCAAAAAAGACAGCAGGGAAAATACAGCTTTTCCCTGCTAAAAATAGATCTTATTACTACAGAAAAACTTGGTATCAAATAATCAAACATATATTTTCTAATTTACCTAGTTCTTCAAGCTACATATTAGGCTAGCAGGAACTTGGGGAAGGGCAATATATTTGGAGTGGGACAGGAAAAGTCCCAACAATGTATGCTGCTGTACAGGATGCTTGGGAGCTCTGTGGCTTCCTGGCTGTCTCTCCAGAGTGACCAGGAGCAGTTTCTAACCACTTTAATACATTCTTCTGAAACATGGTTAATAGTAGTGGAACCAGGGCGTTGTGGGCTGCTAGCTGCATCATGGAGACCACCATGGCCAAAGGAGACCCTGAAGTCTCCAGTGTTATGTTTATCTCTGCTCATCAATTGTTTAAAGACGACAGGGCAGCTCTGGAATGAATTTGGCTTGCTTAAAAGAAGCAGAACTAAGTGGAAGAGGAAATACAAATGGCCAATAAATACATGAAAAGGTACTTACCCACATGTATAATTAATGAAATGCAAATTAAAATAAGATGCCATGTTCCCTTCTATCTGATCAGTATTCCAGCACGGGGAAAAAGGCACTCATTCTCTGCTGACTGAACAGAAATCTCACTGCAGGACAACTTGGCAATAACTGTTGTTGTTGTTAGGTGCCATCGAGTTAGTTTTGTCTCATAGTAACTCTATGTCCAAGGGGATGAAACACTGCCTGGTCCCGTGCTCTCCTCCCAACATTGCTACGCCTGAGCCCACGGGTGAAGCCACTGTGTCAATCTGTCTCATTGAGAGTCTTCCCCTTTTTTGCTGACCCTCCGCCTTACCAAGCATAATGTCCTTGTTCAGGACTAGTCCCTCTTGACAACAAAACCAAAGTATGAGATAAGTCTCGCCATTCTCTCTTCTAAGGAGAGCTTAAAAGGTTTAAAATCTTTGACTCAACAATTTCATTTCTAGGAATTTAGCCCATAAAACCAAAAATACTTAATAATATAAATGCATAAGGTTATTAACTTTATTAATTAATTAAATTAAACATCTCAATTTCCTATCAATGAGGGCAGAGTAAATAAGGTATGGAATATCTATACAACATAATTACATGTATTATTGAAAATAAAGAGGCAGATATGTGGTCCTGACATAGAAAAAGACCTAAAATTTTTTAAGTGAGAAAAGAAACTTGCAAAATGGTATGTGTAACATTACCCTATTTTTTATTTTTAGAGATATATAATTTGCATATATTACACAAGAAAAAAATAAACCTGTTGCCATCCAGTCGTTTCTGACTCATAGCAACCCCTTACAACAGAGTAGAACTGCCCCATGCTGGAAATCTTTCGGACAACAGACTGCCTCATTTTTTTCCTGCAGAATGGCTGGTGGGTTCAAACCACCAACCTTTTAGTTAGCAGCTAAATGCTTTAACCACTATGTCACCAGAGTTACTTACATTACACATACACATTCACATAAAGAAAATAAGGTGTATATGACAAACTGTTTAATAGTAGCCATAATGGGGGGGGGACCCACTGTCATTGAATCTATTCCAACTCATAGAGACCCCTGTTGGATTTCCAAGGCTATAAATCTTTACTGAAGTAGATTGCTTAATCTTGCCCCTGCAGAGCAGCTGATGGGTTTGAACCACTGACTTTCTGGTTAACAGCCAAATGCTTTATCCACTATGCCACCAGAGCTCCTTAGTAGCTGTATTAGGCAGGTATAATTATAAGACTTGAGCTTTTTACGTTATATCCATAGACCAAGAGGCAGTCATTCAAACATAACATGGGGATACTGTGGAGTTTAAAATCAGGAAGGATGTGTGTCAGGGTTGTATCCTTTAACCATATTTATTCAATCTGTATGCTGAACAAATAATATAAGAAGCTGGACTATATGAAGAAGACTGCCACATCAGGATTGGTGGAAGACTCATTAACAACCTATAATATGCAGCTGACACAACCTCGCTTGCTGAAAGTGAAGAAGATTTGAAACACGGATGAAGAACAGACCACAGCCTTCAGTATGGATTACAACTCAAAACAAAAATCCTCACAATCGGACCAATAAACAATATCACGATAAACAGAGAAAAGAGTGAAGTTGTCAAGGATTTCATTTTTCTTGGATCCACAATCAACATCCATGGAAGCAGCCGTCAAGAAGGCAAATGACGTATTGCAGTGGGCAAATCTGCCACAAAGACCTCTGTTAAAGAGCAAAGACGTCACTTGAAAAATATGATGCACCTGACTCAACATGCATGCAAAGCTGGACAACAGCTAAGGAAGACTGATGAAGATTCGATGTCTTTGAATTATGGTGTGGTGAAGAACAATGAATATGCCATGGACTGCCAGAAGAATGAATAGATCTGTCTTGGATGAGTTACAGCTGGAATGTTCTTTAGAAGCAAGGATGGCAAGCTTCGTCTCTGCATTTTGGTGACGTTATCAGGAGAGACCAGTCCATGGAGAAGAATATCATGCTTGGTAATGTGGAGGGTCAGCAAAAAAGAGGAAGACCCTCAACAAGATAAGACTGACCCAGCGGCTACAATGAAGTGCTCAAGCATAGCAAGGATTGTGAGGATGGTGCAGGACTGGGCAGTGTTTTCTTCTGTTGCACAAAGGGTCACTATGAGTTGGAATCAACTTGACGGAATCTACCAACAACAACATTTTAAATGAGCACTAATTTTTTTTTATAAGCAGAAGAAACAATTTAGACAGTATCTTGGTCTGGGAAAAATCTGACTCTTAACTACTCCATTCTTCTGCTTCATCCTCATAACCGTTTGCCCTCATTTCTCTCTTTTTTGGCAAACATTCCTGACTCTTAATATCATTCCTGAAGAAACCTCAGTCACTACTCAAATCATCATCCATTTGGGAAGTTCCTCTTTTTACTTACACTCTGACAGCTTTTTGCAGATTCCCACTCTCAAACCTTGATTCAAACAGCAGAGTGTTATCATCGGGTCCTTGCAACGGGACAGCAAGTTCCCTGATAATTCCTCGCTTGCCTCCCACTCTGGAATTGGTGAAATAGGAACCTTCGGTGGGCACTGCAGACAAGAGAGACTTATTAGGCCAGGCTCCACTGAGCACCCATTCATTCAACAAATATTTACTGAACTCATCTATGTGATAAACACTATTCCAGGTTAACAAAAAGGAGTATTCAAATCCTCAATTGTCCCTGCAGAGCCTTCTAATTTTCAACAATGTAGTTCTTTGAAGTCTGTTAGGGAGTTAGAGCATTTCTTTTGTGCATTGATAACCTAGCTAGGCATCTCAGAGAATGCTTGAACTCATGTAAACCCAAATTTAAAAGGACGTTGCCAAAAAAAAAAAAAAAAAAAAA